TCATATTGTCGACTCTCTGTTGTCGATGTCGGTGATAGGAGCGTCATATGTTCATCCTGCCGTGAGTTGTAAATCGAAAATTAATCCTGGGGAGCATGCGGCGCAGGTTAGAAATCGTGATGATTCTGTGTGGGAAATTTGAGGGCGGAATTCCCGATCATACCGACCGACAAAGTTCGGGTTCAAACGGCTGCGATTTGCCGTGCTTCCCGTGCGTGTCAATAAGGCACAAGGTCAATCACTGCAGGCATGCGGCCTGATCTTCGAGAATCCATGCTCATATCGCACGGATGACTATTCGTAGAATGTTCACGTGTCGGTGAATCATCGAATTCGTTTGTTGTGTACGCACCGGATAGTGAGACAAAAGACTCCGTTTATCTTCGAATGATCAGTTGAAGATTTATATGAGCATCATCTGCTCATGGTTGGGAATAAATCATCGGGGTACATTATGTGAAGGTGGGTGAGTGTGATGTGTAATGTTTCGGTATGGGATTCTGATGATGTCCGAAGTTCGGACTTCAGAACAATGCTTTCGGCACAAACCGGATGGTGAGACCAAAGGTGTGTGTGTGGTGCCCGTCAGGCTTGAGAGTCTGGGAATCGGGAACGGGGGCCAAATTCTTTCCGTCGAAACGGGAGTCTTATCGCCCTCGCGGTTATCGTGCCCGTTCAGGCTCGAGAGTCAGAGAATCAAGATCGGATTTATATGAGCATCATATATGTTCATGTTTGGAGATGAATCCTCGAGGCATATGATGCGCAGGTGGGTAAAACTGACGTGTACCCCCCATGCATACTTAGAGTGGATATGGTCAAATGACAAACGAGAAAGACTAGCTCAGTGAGGTCTGTTGCCGTCGGCTCAACAAAGTTCCCTCTCATTTTCCCGTTCGGAGAGATTCACAGCGATGTAATATTCTACCGTGACCATACGTCTTCGCCTAATCGGTTGACCATAGCGATCGAATAAAGAGTAATTGCGGAGAATGGGGAATGATCATCCCTTCTCCGGGACCCTTCTGTCTGTCGCTCAACCCATGATGAGGGTCTATGGTGTGGGTACATTTCAGGTATCGCTCCTGCGGATGACTCGACATCATGCCGAATAACTCACAATCAATGAGAGGATATCCCGGGCCGTTTTTTACTATCTGGGTTTAATTATCATCCGACATTGAATGAGCAATTCAAACATAGATACTTTTCCAAAATCTCACGGCCGCCCATCCTCGCTCTCCGAGTTCTCGGATCCTCGAAGGGATGGCGCGCGGTCGTGAGCGCAGCAGGATGTCATCAGCCATCATGGTTTGCGGGACTCATGTCAAACGTGGAGAAAACGTCTATCAATCGTGATGTTGACTCACGGCGATCGGAATCGGACCCGCTCTGGTTCTCACCTCTAGACTTCGGTATCACCCGATTCTGATCACCAATTCGGAAAAAGAGTAAATGCGATTAGCTGCAAGGGTCCGAGCAACTTTCTTGATGCGCTGCCCCGCGATTCCGACGGAATACTCTCGCGGCACATATGCAGTCCGCCCTCGGTATGATCAGCTATTAGCAGTGTGAGAGAATCGCGCAGCGCTATGTCCCCGCGAATTTCCAGATAATCCCGTGGCGATGCTCCATATTTCAATGAAATAAATGGAGGCCACGGAGTCACCGAGAAAAATTCTCACCCTCTTCTCCGGGAGGGCTCCCGCTCGGCTCCGCCTCGGTCGAGTTGTCCCATGGTTTGTTCAGTACTCGCGATCCGCTAGGCGATGCATCGACGCGTAGCACGACGAGTAAGTCCCGGAAATCCGTGAAGGCTCATCTTCATGAATGGAACAAGAGAGGGCGTAGGTAACCAGAGAGATTCATTCAATCCTCGAAGCCATTCGATATGACGAGGGGAGGGATCAGATTTTTCATCGAGCTCTCAATCTTATTCCAGATTTCCAGATCCATATATCTATCCATATATCCATACGTGCATAGTCAGCAAGCCTCGATTTCGTACGAAACTTCGCCCAATCAGTAGCTCCGGGAGCGTTTCAAACTAGCCTTATATGAAGAGCCGTTCTCTCTCCCCTCATTCAGCTGTACCCATATTTCATTCTGAGTTCGCCATCGACAACTGATGGATGTTGTTCCGTTGATTGATTTCGTCAAGAAATGCTTTGAGCCCCGTCGGGGACATACAACGTTTCGCACAGTTTCAGAAATCTTGCCGTTTTTGCTGTAGGAACAAGACTGTAGTAGATACAATCAGGACAATGAGCTCGTAGGTGCAATCCTGTACCGATTGTGAGGAGCTAATTGTTTGTCGTGGAAGGCGAATCGGCGGTCGTGAATCAGTCCCCTGATCACTGTTGTCGCGTTCCAGTCTCCCATTTGTAATATGTCAATGAGTGTGGGATCGCTCGCCAAAGCAAAACACGTACCGAATGTGCTGTTGAACGTCGTAAGAATAAGGTATTCGTACACTCATCGTGAACTCTGTCAAATAGTGTTCGATCCATGCTCGTAAATAATTTGACCCACTTGAAACACTACAGACTTGGGCACGAAGTTTAACGGACGGAAAAAATCGAAGATGAAATGAAGGGGAGTGGAGGCCAAGTGCGAGAGCCACCGCATATCCGACTTATTAATCTTATCCTGAGGGAATCCATTATCCACCTCGGAATAATATTCAGCAATCGGTGACCGTAGTCGATACGGCGGGCGAGGCAGCGGTTGTACGCAAAAACGGACCTCCGTGTTGCCATTCAGCTCGAACCTCGAAGAAGTACGACGACCGATCTCGATGACCCTGGTGCGCATTGAGACGCCCAAACCACGTGACTTTACTCGCTCCTGACGAGGTGCTAGTCTTTTCGTGCTGGCAGACTGACTCCGAGTGTTTATCAACATTTTTCGTAAGTTGTCGATCGAACTCGCTCAGGAGACAAAATTCGGTGGACGTCACGACTCGACATCGTCACGGATCCGAATCAAATTAATGGTGACAAGCGACAACCATGTTCGAGGAATGACATATTTGATGGATAATAGTTCTACGTCTTTCGTGTACAAAGTCGGAATTTCGATGGCATGAGCCCATGCCGAGTTTTTTTCGAGCGAGGCGTTGAAGAAACTCTGGCGGCGGGAGAGAATTCCCGATTATTCGATTACACGCGAGATTCCTGGTGGGGTTGATTCATCCTGGCCTTGCCCGATCGCGATCACATTGGTACGGGGCCCGGAGCAATCTGATCACAGCGAACGGGAAGCCTTGGGCAGGCGCTCATCCGGCTCATCTCGATGAAATAGTCTTGTCACCCGGGGAGTGCTGGGAACGTGAACTTCGCCTTGTATGAGACGATCGACTTCAGCAGAGTAGGAGGGGGACCTTGCGGCTTCGCCGTCTCTTCGGCGCCGCCGTGCTCTGAAGTTCGGTACAGGAAACAGAATCCAATCCGATTCCGGATGCTCCGTAGCCGAGGATCGAAAAGCTCCAATCTGCTGAGGCTTCTGATGGCATTTGCTCGCAGGTCTTGGTGCACACGAAACTCTTCACGTTTCCCGTTTAAATGCGCTGTCAGGGGCTCCACGATCCCCCACGCTTCGGTGCCGTTCTCGAGACCATACGTCGAGGCGCTACACTCGACAGGGAGATTTTGCGAGGAATCAAAAAAGGTCACGAATCCTCTCCATTCACGAGCTGAGCGTGGGAGAGATGAGCCCGCTCTTGCCATGACCCCTCGAGGCCGGGCTGTCTGACGAGATGCTTTCAAACACACTATAACGGTGAGGGGACACTCTTTGGCAACATCTCGCAAACAATAGGAAGATTTCACGAGGCCTGTATAAGAGCTGCATCGAGTACCCGCCGGCCATTCGGTGCTGAGGACGAATGTCAATCTTCGCTCCGAAGAAGATATCGTCGGTGGAAACCCCTCCCGGGGAAATTTTCTGAAAAACTCCTCTCTACGGCATGCCCGGGATGTTTTCGATTCGCCTGTGTCATAATCGCACCGACAATCGGTCGATAGCTTCACAGAGTACTAGTGCTTCCAGGTTGCTTGCTGAGACGGGAATGAGCCAGGATCACGAGGTATTGACGTGACTCTCGCGCTCCCGGAAGCTATCGATATCACCGATTTGTTTATCACCGATATCACGATTTGAAGCTTCCGTGACAGCCCTCGAGTTACCCTCGAGGTGCACGCTGCGCTTGGGATCAGAATTCTGGATATTCTGTTCCTAGAAACTTCTGCTCTCGGAAGTCACGGATGGCAGGTCCCCCCCGGACCTTCCATTCCAATCAGGGGCCGAATATTGGAGATTCCGCTCGGGTCGGGCCGGGAAAGGTACAATCGATGAGTTTTTCACTCGATCAGGTTGGAGTTCTTCCCTTTCCGTACTGGTACGGGAATTCAGCAGCTGAGTCGATCCTGTTTTGGGAAAGGGGACTTCAGGTCTATCCGAGTCAAAGCTACATGCGGGAATCGTCCATGTAGCTCCGACAATTTTGTACCAGACTAGCCGTGAGGGCGCTTCGCGCTCAGTAGAACTGTGATTACACCATACCGAGAAAGCTCCACATTTGTCAAAAAACTACGAAAGGAGAAGCGAGTGAATCTTGCGAAAGGCATGCGTCCTCGCAGCTGGAAAAGTATATATTGACTTCACTAAAGCGGTCGAGCATCGATTGAGGAAAACAGACATTGCGATTCTATTCTATGGGGCATTCGATCGTCCTCGAGTCCGGGAGCACCAGTTTCGGGAGAAGCGGAAATGAACCCGCGAAATCCCTAAACGGAGAGTTCTGAGCGAGAGCACTCCAAGATCAACACGATTGGGGAACAGTCTCTTGTTGGAGACTGAAAAGTTCCCTCCATTCTTCCACAAGGCATCCACTTCTACGGCCGAATTTATTGGGCCTCGATCACGCTCCTGTCGTTATATAAGGCATTACCTCCGTGACCGCACAACAGCTATCCCGTCGCATCCGTTCAGCTCCCGACATGGATAAGCTGGTACTCCTACTGTTCCTGGTAGGAATCGGATGTCGAGATGGACCCAGTTTCCTCCAGAATCTCGGGGGTGTCGACCTCGCTCTATCTGAAACCAGGAGCGCATTCGTAGGCGGCACAGTTGTCAACAATGGTTGGGTTCGGACAGCTCCAATCGCAGGTAGTGGGAATGTCTTGCAACAGCAACAACAAGCCGCCCAAAGCGTTTCTTCTGGTCTGAGTGCCTCCGTGGCGGGTGTCGATTACGAGTCGCAATCCCAGGGCGCCCCTCTTGTGCAACCGATCGCCGCAGATGATCCACCCCAGCCAGTGCTCAGCGCTAGGAAATACCACCAATCAGCAATCGAATTATCAACATCTCAGGTAGTCCCCTCGTGGGACGGCGCGAAATATCCCCAAGGCGGTCCCTCCGGATCGCTCACTCCAAGATGGGGACACGCGTATCCATATGATTATGCTGGCGCTTCTGCCGCCGCTCAGGCTCAAGCCCAGGCGGGCGCTCATGGCTATGGACCATATCCGCCGTACGGCGGCGCCGACGCTTCTGCTGCCGCTCAAGCGCAAGCCGAGGCCGGCGCTCACGGCTACGGGCCGTATCCACCGTACGGCGGTGCCGGGGCCTCAGCCGCCGCTCAGGCTCAGGCCGCGGCCGGCGCGCGCTATAATGGCTGGCCCCCGAATCCGTACTATCCGTACTACGGTGGTAACGCAAACGCCAACTCGAACGCTAACGCTAATTCCATGGGGATCACAATTATCAACACGGGCAAGGACTCCAACAAAACAGCGTCGTCAAGGAGCGCGTACCCGCGTCCTCGACAGAACCCGCCGCCGCCACCGATTTCGGGCCGTGCCCCAGCGTATCGGACCGGCGGCTCTCCGTCACTCACCCCACGGCACGGCCATGGACCATATCCTCCCTATTCGGGCGCTAATGCTGCAGCGAGTGCAGAAGCTGAAGCCGCGGCAGGGGCCTATGGCCGGGGTCCTTATCCACCCTACGGCGGTGCGGGTGCCGCCGCGAAGGCTAAGGCCCAGGCTGCGGCGGGAGCTTACGGTCACGGCCCGTATCCGCCGTATGGCGGGGCTGGGGCTGACGCCTCCGCGTCCGCTCAAGCGGAGGCTGCCGCCGGCGCCTATGGCCATGGTCCGCATTGTTTCCGTCCACCTCACGGCAGCGCGGGTGCCTCCGCTTCCGCGTCCGCACAAGCTGCGGCAGGGGCCTACGGCCGCGGCCCGTATCCACCCCCATACGGAGGTCATGCGGGAGCCTCTGCGAAAGCGAAGGCTCAAGCGTCGGCAGGAGCTTATGGTCATGGTCCGTATCCTCCTCCGTACGGCGGTGGCGGCCATGCGGGTGCTGCGTCTTCTGCTCAATCTGAGTCGCATGCCCAAGGAGGATATGGACCGTACTACGGCCGCCGTCGATGAGGTGTCTCCGCCGAAGCGGTACGATTTCGAATTCTCAGGAGGCGAATGGTCATCTCCAGCCATCCGGGGTCTGGATCACATCTACAGTTCTCCCGCAAATAAAAACGAGAGTCGTCCCGGAAACATTGGAGAAATAAAGATGTATCCATTTTCTGATAGAGGGATGTGTACACGATTTAGTAGCGATCGAATAAATATGCTTCGCTTTACAAACTTCACCGGTTGACCCTTTAGGCGGGAATACACTTTTCCAGCGATATGCCAATGCGATGCTTCTCCGACAGTCGATTGGAAAGATGCTGTCTAGAGGCAAGCTGAAAAATGGATACATTTCCTCGGATTCCCTAATTTAGGAGGACCTGGGTCGGTGAATGCCATCCCCGCCAGGAGGGCAACCTACATGTATTCGCGAGAGAAACGCCTTCTGTCCCTCTCACGCTCGTTGGGTTGAGAGTGACCAGTCGAGACGATTTCGAACTGCTCAATCGAAGGAATTCGGATCTGGGCTTTTGTCATCGTGGGCTTCTCGGGCACGCCTTCCTCTGAAACGTCCGAGACGATGTGTACCTAGTCAATGCGAAATGCTACGCTTCGGTCGGGAAAATAATATTGGAATTCTACAAGGCATCCGATTTGACTTCCTGTCACGCCTTCGCTACGAAGCAGCTCGCGAGCGCGACTCTTTAGGCCCGTGTTTGGTTCGACCCATGCACCACGGAACGAGCTTCACCTCCCGAAGCAATGCTCTACATTTCCGTAATCACTTTTCTCGTGGCTGTGAACGAGATCCGAACCGGCGACTGTGCAGATGCGTTAGAATCCAGTGTTTTCGTTTCCGTAGAGACGATGAGCGACCTGCGTGCTGCGACAATGGAATTCGATGCAGCTCTGCATATCAGGCAGTCGACAAGATACTCGAATGCAAGTTGCCTGCGTTTCCAATATGATCTCCTCCGCAGTGACGTTCTAACGAATGCATCGAGCCCAGGGAAGCCGATAAACTTGCCCTATAGGCTCGTTCAACAGCTCCAGTGGTGGAGACCGGATTTGTACATCGTTGAAGCCAAGAACGTCCGGCAACCGTCAGACGTCATCCAGACGACGAGCACCCAGCTGGATCTCAATGACGATGGGTGCCAGATCGTCGAATTGAGCAAAAGAGCCGTCACAATCGGATGCGAAGTGAACTTTGGGAGTTTTCCTTTCGATGAGCATATTTGCAATTTGACAATACGGACTTTCCTGTCTGACAGACGTGTCGTGCAGTGCGTCAGTACGAGGCTGTTCATCGACGCCCGGGTTCAGCTGCACGAGTTCCGATTCAACATCACGGCCATGACGGAAGACTCGCTACAGGACTGGGCGGTCCCGGATCGCGTGTTTAGCGGTTCCGTGTTGCAGTTTCGTCTCCGGCGAGACCCCAACAATCAATTCTTGACAGCACTGTTACCGGCGTCGCTAATCGTGTTCGTTACGATGGCGTCGCTGCTGATGGACCTGAGCGCAATGAGTGAACGCATAACTCTCTGCAGCACCGCACTCCTGGCCCAGTACACCGAAATAACCGGGGTGCGGGCGGACCTTCCACCGATATCGTATCTGACGACCGGTGACAGCTATATGCTGGCCTGTTTCGCTATTTGTCTCATCGTGACCGTCGAGAGCTGTCTCATCGAGAATCTGAACTCGGAAGAAAAACGAAGCGCCCTGGGTTTCGACGCGGAAACTTTGAAGGATGAAGCGATTGTTCACTCGGCCTTAAGTCAGACCTTGAGCTCTGCGGGGCAGAGATATTCGGACAAGGTCAAAAGGAATCGAAAATTCGGAGGGGGCCGCGACGGAGGAGGCGCGGCAGGAAATCCCCCGACACCCCGTGGGAACTATATGACGCGTCTCCGAGAGAATCGTCTCCGGCGGAAGGGCGAATCGACGAAGGTTAGAGAACCCATCGCCTTCATCACCCCGTGGAGCGGAACCCCGCCGATCTCCTTCCCGGCAGGTCTGAATCGAGCGTGGTGGCAAGAGGAACGCCCCACTTCTCTCGCGGGAGAGGTTTTCGCCCGCCACGAGGAGACCCTGAAGCTCGAACAGCTGTACACCCTGAAGTATCAATGTTTCCGCGGAGGCCTTGCCTTCAAAGTCGATATGGTTTTCAAGATCGCTTTATTTCTGACCGTTGGCATCTCAGGTTTAATCTTCTGGATCAGAGTTTCACAAATGAGAGAGAATGAAGGTTATGACTATATTTTCGGAGGAGTCGAGATCCGTCCCTAGAAGAAGTGATTCCTCCTTGCTATCCCGGGTCTTGATTTTCGTGATTATATACAAACTTCCACGATGGTCAGTACTATGGAGGCGGTGTCTACTCCCCGAGAATTCAAAGGTCGAAGCTTCTCCGAGACTCCCGGCAGAAATTAAACTCGAAGATGTCTGCCTAGAAATTGTAACAACATAAGCAACCCTGCCTCAACGCGTCGCAATGGAATTTCTCCTCATCGGGTCCTGTCTCCGAAGGGAGAAGAGCTCGTTCTGCAGACCACCGCCTCAGAGCAACTGAAGTTTTCGCGCCTATCATCAGCGTATGATCGCCGTCGGCAGCTGCCAGGCAATTTCGCTCGCCGTGTGTAGGTATTTTCCTCCTGATGTCCGATTGAATGAAAGTCATCCGAAGGGGATGGGGATACGTCGATAAATACATCGATATCTAGAGGTGCGACGATAAATCGAGACCTACATATATGACAGAAGATTTATGTGCGGTCGATAATTTATGTGTGTGTATTGTTCATTATCTAGCCTCTCAAGAGCGTTCTGCAATTGAGGACATAGGAGAGCGAGTATCTCGAGAGGGACTAGAGTTTCCATTCCGCAGAACCTTCCTCCCGAACGGTTTATGAATGTACGTATGTATGAGCGATTCGTGCCGCGGTCATGCGAACGCTCTATCGACTGAATTTGACTTCGGTCGAGGCACTTCTCATAGAGGCGTACGAGAGATCTATGCTAGTGGGTCCACGAAACATGTAGGACAGCCGTTTTTTCTGAGCGAAAGCTGACTTGTCTCGAAACAAGACATTCGATTCCCAGGCATAATTTATAGAAGCTCGATCACGCGCTCGCGGGGATAAAAGCTACGTCCTCCAAGATCGCGCTACAGCTATCCCGTCGTGTTTGCTGAGTTGGCGACATGGATAGGCTGTTAATTCTGACGCTCCTCACCGGACTGGGCTGCAAGGATGGGCCCATATTCCTCCAGCACCTGGGAGGAGTAGGCCAAGTACGGTCCCAGGATCCAACGCAAGCCGACTTCTCAGGCGGCGACGCCGGGCCATACGCCTGGGATGAGTCGCCCGCAATGGGTGCAAGTGCGAACGAGGAATCGAACAACGTCTTACAATCGACTCAGGGCTTCGCTCCGATGACTTCTGGCGACATGTCTCCCGAATGGAACGCTCCGAGTGATCATTTGACGGACGTCGCCTACGGCGAGCCAATCCAAGATGATGTCCCCTTGTCGCAACCACTCGTGACAGGCCCAATGACGCAACCAATCGCGACAGGCCCAATGACGCAACCACTCGCGACAGGCCCAATGACGCAACCACTCGCGACAGGCCCAATGACGCAACCACTCGCGACAGGCCCGAACGTGCAAGAAGTCGCGCCAGGCCCAATCATGCAGCCCCTTGGCCCAGATGGCGGCTCTGTGCGACCCAATCCTCCGGTGGGCGTGCCCGTGCAGCCTGCTGGACAAGCCCCGGCACCCGTGCAGCCCCCCACCCAGACTGGCCACCCCGTGCAACCCGCGCCGATTGACTCGCCCATGACCATGTCAGCTCTGGCGAGCCCGTCCGCGCCTGCACTCGCTGCAAGAAATTTATATTTGCGGCCGATGTACGGCGCTCCTCGAGGTTCTCTCGTTCCCCGTGCGCTGGCCGGGCGACAGTTCCGGCAGGATGCTCCCCGAGGGCAATCACTGAGCGCGCGTTGCGGGCACTACACTACGACCACAGCGCGTCCGACTCACCCGCCGCCACCACCACCACCACCTCCGCCGCCTCCCCCACCGCCGCCTCCACCGCCGCACCCGGGCGCATGGGCGAATGCGAAAGCTGAGGCGTCGGCGAACGCGGGAGCCTACGGCTATGGTCCCTACGGCGGTTGGGGAGGCGCTTCCGCCTCTGCCAAGGCTCAAGCCGAAGCAGGGGCCTACGGCTACGGTCCGTATTACGGTTACCGAGGCGCTTACGGCCGGTCAATCTCACCGAGGAGCTCCTTGTATCCACGTTCAGCGTACAATCCGGTCGCCGCCGGCCGCGAACAGCAGCTCCTCAAAGACGGTCCTGCAGTGCCATCGCTCACAGCAAGGTGCTCACATCCTCTCACGCCTGTTAAACCCAGACCCACACCTACCAAGCCCAAAGACATGACTCCTGCGTCAAAAATTCTTCACTCCAAGTACTATCCGCACCCAGGATCTTCTGCACATGCAGACGCGCAAGCTGAAGCCGCCGCAAACGCCTATGGCTACGGTCCATATGGTCCATTTAATGCGGGCGCTTCCGCCGCAGCGAGAGCCGAGGCTGAGGCGGAAGCTCTGGCTTCTGCTGCCGCGTTGAAGAAAGCTGAAGCAGATGTCCTGGGTGGCGCTTCCCTGTACGGACAAACCCCGTATGCCGGTCTCGCCGAGGCTGCCGCAGCCGCGAAAGCCCAAGCGGTGGCTTTGGGTCCCTATTACCCCATCGGATCGTACGGTGCCCTCGCCGGAGCCTCTGCCGCCGCAAAGGCCAAGGCCGAAGCCGCGGTTTTAGCGGCTGCTGCCGCCGAAGCGAAAGCTGAAGCCGCAGCTCTGAACGAAGCTTCTTACGGACCGGCCTCGTACGGCGGCATCGCGGACGCGGCCGCCGCCGCGAAAGCCAAAGCCCAGGCGGGAAGTTTCGGTACCTATCGCGCGGTCGAAACGTCACCGTATGGCGGTCTCGCAGGAGCTTCCGCAGCCGCAAAAGCGAAAGCCCAAGCGGCGACTTGGGGCGGCTACCGCTCTGTCCGAACGTCCCCGTACGGCGGTCTCGTTGGATCTTCCGCAGCTGCGAAAGCGAAAGCCGAAGCAGCAGCGGTAGCATCTGCTGCCGCAAAAGCAAAGGTCGAAGCAGCGGCGGTAGCGTCTGCTGCTTCGAAAGCGAGAGCTGAAGCGGACGCGGTGGCTTCCGCCGCTGCGAAAGCGAAAGTTGACGCGGCGGTCCTGAACAGCTATAACCACTACGTACCAGCCTCGTACGGCGGTTTCGCAGGAAGTGCCGCCGCTGCCAGAGCCGACGCCGGCGCGGGGGCCTTTGGCCATCTCTACGGCGGTCGGTCAGCCCAGCCCAATGGTGCTCGAGTCAATCTTCCGGCGCAGCCCAACGGACGACAGTCTCTGTATGCCCCTCCGGCCAACCGCCCCGCTCCACGGCTGATGAAACGAAGGATGGCGATGTTCGAGCAGCAGCAGTATAAGCAGAGGAGACCCAGCAAATCGAGAAAGACTCAGAGAAGGTCGGCGGCTCGCGATCCTTCGAAGCAGAACCAATCTAGGAATTCGAGCTCCAAAACAGGAAGGAACAAGCATTCCAAAGCAGAGAGCGAGCCCGTCGAGGGAGCGGACGTCTACCAGAACGGAGGATCTGAAGGCAAGCTACCGGAACCCTAGATGAGAGGACTCGCCGATCGAGAGATCCTTTCGAGCAATCGACTCGGTCATTTAGTTGAGGAGGTTCAAAGATCCGTATCCTAGGGATGGCATAATAGCCCCCAGCCAGCTTTTCGAAAATCCACAGTGTGTCATGCCGGTGTTCATCGAATTTGCTGTCTCAAGAAGTGTATCGAGAGTCCCACCGGGAATTCCCGGACGGGTCGGTGTCAGAGTCTTCCCCCGAGATTCTCGCGGTGAGGGCCCGACTGCTCGAGAGAATTCCGGAGCGTAGAGTCAATGTCGAGGCATTTCGACCTCGTTTCCCCCTCATTGCTCTCTTCACAGGAGTTCCGTCTCGATTCGTCGATCTTCTCGGGGTCTATTCCGCCAGAGAAACTTCCAAATTTAGAGCGAGGGAATATTAGGTACAGCGGAGACTTATCAAATCATCGTTCTGGCATGTGTAGTCGGGAACGCGAAGCCTGTGGAGCGCTCAAAACGAAAAGAATCGGGTCACCGAAGTGCCGCGTAGAAGGATCTCTCGCTTGGCTGCTCTTTCGAATACTTTCGAATTTTGTGGAACCTTCCTGGCCGATGATGGAGCCCTGGAACTCCGATATCTTCACACTCATAAATGATCGGTGGAAAATTCTGCTTCCTCATACGGTTTCGTTTTTCGCTGAAGTCCAATAAGCAAGCATTCTTCTACGCGTCGCTTCGCGCACGCGATACTTGAAGTTTAGAGCTTGGAGTATTTCGACCGTCGGAGTTTTCAGGGACATGACTTGGCTACATCTCAGGATTCGAATACGGTGTGAGTCAGAAATTCTCGATCAGGTGCGAGTCGCTTTCTGGGAAGGGCGAATTCCTGGAAGTCCCAGAAACATCACTCCGGAGCGAGCTCGACCGTACATGGAGCTCTTCAAGGGGAAAAGGGCATTCGGAACTTTTCTTCCGCCAATGCAGCGGGATCACGCTCAAGATATAGTCGCTGGTATTTCAAGCATTTTGCTTCAAGCGATATCAGCCGAATCTTCCGGTGATTGAGGACTGAGTCAGACTGAAATTTTTTCATTTATCCGTTCTCGGACAAGGCGCGAGGCGCTGTGGAGTTTGAGCTCTCGAAATGGGTTAGGGCCTCTTTCCTCCCTCAGCCGAAGAATCCACTGCCGGGGAAAAATGCAAGCGAAGAGCGCAGAGCAACTCCGGTTTCGGAAATCATGACTGCTCCCGGATGTCAACGGCACATCAGCGCAGTCGATGCGAACCTGAGAGTTAGTCAATGACCGTTCCGGCCCCCTCCGCTATCAGGTCGGCCCCTGGGCCAATCGTCTAGGAATTTGAGACACAAGCTTCGGGAAAAGCGTGGGAAAATCATTGCCTGGGGAATCGCCCCGTGTAGCCGACTCGGGAGAGAGCGTCATTCCTTAGCGCAATCCCCGAAGAGTTCTTCCTGATCGAACAGGCCGCCGAAGATTTACCATTCTGAGCTCCTCATCGCTGGCATCCTATGACAGCGTATGCAAGACCGAGTGCATACGTGCATACTCACATTTCTGTCCTCTGGGAGATCTCTGACGGAAATTTTTTCGAGTAAGAACACCCGTGATAGTGATACCGATGAGGTTGGGGGACGCCGCGCTCGACGCAGAGGAGCTGGAACTTAGTTAGAGGCCGAGCCATCGGCTGGAGCTTCAGAGAGACAGCGAATTCGATGCCACACCACATGACTTGCAGATATCCCGTTCCTACGCAGAAATTTCGGGTCCGGAATTCAGATTTCGGGCTCAGTTGGCTTCTGGCTTAATTGGGCAGGGCATACATCCGGAGGATTGCAAATTACTCGTGACCAAAATATCTTGGGGCAGAATCGCACAAGAAGCCAATTCCCAAGGGGCGGGAGTCAGATCGGTTTGACCCCGCTGAGGGCGATCCCCCATCCATGTCCGTCTGTCCGGGCAAAATATTCATCAGCATGTTACCGTCTATGACGTTCGACTTTCCAGATCGAGATGAGAGAATCACGGCAAATCGATTGCCGCCATCCCGAATGAAGGACTCGAAGGGAAACGTGCGGAAGAGACGAGCGCTGCAGCAGGGTAGGAGAAGAAGAGCCGAAATCAGCGATCCTGGCATCGAGTCACGACAACGACCCGTAGCACAGGTTTCATCGAACTTGGAAGAACACGAGTCGGGAAGGATTATCGAAGGAAAACCCAGTGAAGGAAGTTCGTCGAGTGAAACCGCAGAATCTCGAGGCGAGGAATATTTCGAGGAGACTCCCCACACAGATGTCGATGGAGGGAGTAAGGACTCTGAGTCCGAGGAGAGTAGCCAGGTGGATATTGACGACGGTGATGAGAACTCTGTGTCCGAGGAGGTCTCAGAAGATCCGTCACAGTCAACTCTCGACGAAGACTCAGATACCGAAGAAGAAGACGAGGAAGCAACCGAATCGGATATCGTCGAAGGATCTTCCGGATCGGGGCTCGATGGAGGGGATCCTACGGCGTCTGCCGGTGGGGACCCAGATGAGGCTCTGGAGGATGAAACCGCCCAGCGATACCCTCCAGATGCTTTCATGGACCGCCAACCAGGTACGGGTCCACTCGGAAGATCTCCATCTGCTCTGATTTCAAGATCTCGTCGCAGCACCAACGTGAAACACCCGTATGAAATCAGTCAGACCGAATCCAAGGAGCTAAAAATTCAGCTGGTGTCGAGAGTTTCAATGAAGAAGATGTTCCCTGATGGAATGGGCGGCTCTCCGAATGAAAGTGCTAAAGGACCGTGCGTCGTTGCTCTCCGATTCCCTGGTCGAGACTCAAGGCGTTCTGGCAGTGGGCCCCCGAGTCGTTCCGCTGTGGCACCGTCGAGTGAAGATCGGGAAGGTGCGAGAGGACCATCCAAAGATCGACAAAACCTCTATGAGACAGCGGCTCCGGCGCATTATGAAGAGTCATTCATAATCAGATCGGAAACCGGGGGAGACGCTGCTGATTCTCGGATTGAAGGAAAAACCTCAAAAGTGGATCAGAAGATCACCAGTGTTGTATCAGACCATGAACACTTGCCTTGTTTGCATCATCTCGCTCCACCAACCCGTAGCCTATCCGAAGGGAACGGAACGAATAATCTGACAGAAGAGTTCGGAAAATTCGATGCTCTGCCGACAGCTGACCAGTTTGGATCATCCTCGAAACCTGGAATCCCGGAGCCTGGGATTACAGATCCTTCGTCCGGACCGAAAGACTCTGATCGAGCGCTGGAGCCTGAAAAGTCGGAAGTACTACAGCGAGAGGAATCGGCTGTATTCCATGAGCGGGGAAAGTCCGATCCTTTCCCGCAGCCGAGGAAGCCCGATCCGGTACCTGATCGGGTGTGGAAACCCACAGGGATTGATGCATTGAAGGAGCGCGGTAAATCTGATGGCCTCGCAAAGACGGAGAAAACCGTCTTGGTCGGCAAGCCGGCGAAAGCTTTCTTGGTTCCTCAGCCGGAAAGTTTTTTCTGGAAACCAGGAAAGTCTGAAACGGTCTCCAAACAGGAAAACTCTGTCCGGGAGCCTTGGAAGTCCATTCAAAAGCCGGGCGAGTCTCTTTCCAAACTGTGGGCGTGGGAGTCGTTTCCAGTCCGGAAGCCGGGGAACTCGGAGTCCTCTCGGCATCGGAGCGAGTCAAATAAATCCGCGCACGCGAAGAAATCAGGATCGGAGCGCTGGAAGTCGCTGAGGAAGTCAGAGCCCGGAAAATCTAAATCGTCCCGGAAAAGATATCCCGTGTCCGGAACCAGAAACAAGGTGCCTGATAGGCGAATTCAAAGGAAGAAATCTAAAGTCGATTCCTGGAAGACCTCGGGCAAGCGAAGATACAAAGAAACGAAGAGCAGGCAGCCCCAATCGAGCGGATTCGCCGAGAAAAAGAGAAAAGCTTTCCGTGACCCCACATCTCCTCCGAGAAGGGTGAAAATCATAAAATTTCTTAGGACCACCATGACCCCGAAAAATGCGTCGGGCAACACGCAAGGATCCCCACGCGAGCCGATCAAGGATGGGACTCCTCCCGAATCGTCTTTCCATCCGCACGAAGGCGGATTCGGCAGCGCTGTATCAGCTCCCGGAGCGATTAGTGAACTCTCCAGCCTAGTCGTAGGATTTCCCGATTCTAGATTCCTCACGGCAAAGAACCCAATAGAGTTCGCTGCAACTGAAGGATCTGCGAGACCAGGCTCACAGGGAGGAGTTCTCTTGTCGCCACCCCAAGGTCTAAGAACTGATGAGCAATCGCACTTTGCCCCAAATCCAGGTTTGCGGCCTGCGTCCGCCGACATATTCAAATCCGAAAAAACTACAGACAGTGTGCGAGGTTCTGTTAAGACTTCCGATGACTTGGTACTCGAGGGTCAGCGATCAGATGTTCCGGGAGCGACTACGGAGCTCAACGCAGAGGGGGTTCAGCCCAAAGCTGGAGCTCCCGATGAGTCGCTCGGGCCCGCGGTGACGACACTCGCCGGACCTCTCGAGGAGAGAAAAGAGGCTCTAGGAGATGATTCTCATAAGTCGACGCCGCGGGAATTAACGGAAGTTGGTGCACAAACGTCGGAGTCGTCTTCGGGGATGTCCCTCCCGGACTCGATGGTCTCAGAGGCAAGGAGGGGAGAGAATGACCCGTCCGTGACCCCAACAGAACCTGCCGAAAGTGCCTCCCCAGAGGAGAGCAGATCAGGGTCGGATGTGGACGAGGCGACAACGGAAGAACCCGCGATAGCGCAAACCCCCGCGACAGAGGACCCGGCAAAACTCTCGGATGACAAAGTTGGTTAGTTCTAGCATACGCAGTATCGTCGAGGTACTTTGACTGGCCAGATTCAAGTTGACGTATGGGCAAACCTTTCGCTAATATTTTCCTCCTCTCCACAGTCGAGATCTTCAGGAGAAAACTGGGTCCCTCGTTTCCCGGACTAAGGCAACCGCTCATTTCACCGAATACCCCGAAGAAAGCAGGGAGAGGCTAGTTTCCCGATTCCCCTAGCGCATACGTCAGAGAAGGACTGCGAACACGCAGCCCGCCCCTGTGCCTCGACTTCCCGAATTCGAAATAAACTCATTCTGATTTTACGTGGAGGGAACGGATGTTCGTCTCTGTCTGTCGGCTCGGAACCGTAGAGGTTCGAGGACAACGGGACACAGGGGCAATGAAACCCGTGGACTGTTGGGTCGAGATCGGATAGAACGTCATCTGCCATTTCTCGTCGGCTTCCCCTTGTGAACTTCTATCTTCCGAGCTGAACTATTCGGCTTGGGGGAGCTCCTTATGCATTGTATCGATCGGTTTGTCGAATGGATTGTCGAATTTCACAATAAATGCCTCGCGGCATCAAGAGTCCCCCGCAGAAAGAAACTAATTAACTTCCCGAACCTTATCTTTTATTCATGTGACATAATATTACTAAATCGCTAGCGACGGACTCACAAGCTCTTCATGTATGCTCGGTGCTCGAAATCACATTCCCTCTTCGCTCTCTCGGCTGTTCAGGGATCGAAACGCAGGCCGCCTGCCGCACGAACGGCAAGAGCGTCGTCGCGACTAAGCACGTTCGCAGGGACCTAGGAGAACTTCTGCTTTTTACAGAGAAGATCAGAATCCGTAGGTTTCCAGCGGAGTTTCGAACCTAGCGCGTGTTGTAGGTAGCCAGCTCACTATACGCCTCGTGAGTTGAAAGTTTTCCTCGTGGGAAAAGTTCTTGTTGCCAGCTCATGGAGTCTTCGAGAGGGAAATAGGGGATTACCCTGATTCCCAAGATGCTTGAAACGCTCAGAGACGCTTTTTGGGGACTTCTCATCAGAGTGTGATGATCGCGATGCGCAGCAGTGAAGGACCCCACATCGCGAAGAACCTGTCGGTCGCGGTATGGCCAAAGGCTAGTTCATCGCGGAAACCGATAGGCGATCGCATGCCACAATCGTCAGAGCTCCGAAGGCATTTCTTGACCGAAGCCAACGAAACCGAAGAGGATTGAGGTAGTTCAGCTCTCAAAGACGGGGCGAGATTTGAGGAAAATCATCATTTCCAATACTCATCTCAAATTTTCTGTTCCTCGTTTCTCCTGGGTCTAATGACAGAAATGCAGTCTCTTATAGTGACTGCGAGAGTTGACTTGTCTTCGAGCGAGACATTCGACAGAACAATTTATTGAGCCTCGATCACGTATTCGCTGAAATAAAAGGCATCACTTCCCGGAGCGCGCTACAGCTATCCCGTCGTGGTTGTTCGCTCGACGACATGGATAAGCTTGTTATGCTCACGTTCCTTGTCGGATTAGGCTGGGAAAATGGACCTAATTTTCTACATCATCTATCTGGCTTGGACCAGGCCCGATCAGGGACGTCAGCAGTGTTTCCGAGCGGCGCGGAAGCGCATGGTGACGGACAACCGTTTCCGTACAGTTCTGATGGAAAAAAAAATCGAACGACGCTCTGCTCGCACGGCAGGCTTTCAGACCACTTGTACCTATGATGGCTCCCAGTGGTTCATATACTATGAGTGACAGTGTGGACAGTGCCAACTACGGCCGACGATATCCGCAAGTCAGTCCCTCGATTATGTTGCCAGATCCGGAAAGCCCAGCAATTCAATCGCTCAATCCACGATTGGGACCTGCGTCGGATCCTCAGGAATTTGTGCGCGGGGGTTATAGAGGCGCTGCTGCTCGGTTGAATGTAGTGCCAAGCCTTCAGGCCGACGCTGGCGGTGAGTTCTTATCCCCTCCGGCTTCACTGACATCGATGTATTATCCGGACGCAACTCAAGACAACCTCCCAGTACCGGACGGTCCTCATGACCATGCCGAGCCTCACGGTGATTCTTCACCGCTCACGTATCCCGTTGGACCTCTCCCGCAAGACATCCTCAACGAGGAATCCCTGACCTTAAGGAGTTTGCGTCGAAGTCCCATCAGTCCCGAGCAAGAGTTCCTGCACGGCGCTACACCGGTGCAGTCGCTAACCGCGAGGCTCTCACATCGCCCGTATCCGCCGATGACACTTTCGGACTCATCCGCTTACGCGAGAGCCAAAGCTGAGGCTGAAGCAGCGGCTTACGGTTCCTACGACGATTACGCTTCTGCCGCTGCGAAAGCTGCAGCCGAGGCGGAGGCATACGGCTACGGTACGTACGACGCTTACCTCGCCAGTCCAGGTCTTTCCAGTGATCTCGAGAACTCCTTGGAGAACCTACGCAAGCGATCGGCCTACAATCCATTAGCTCTGGAGAACGGGCTCCAGCCCCTACACGACGGGTCCTCGATGCAATCGCTATCATCGCGGTGCGGACATCATCCATATCCGCCGACCCCACGTCCGTACCCGTCTGCGTGGGCCAAAGCAAAAGCCGAGGCCCAGGCCCAAGCGGGGTCCTCTGGCTACGGCCCGTTCGGGAGCTGGGGAGGCGCTTCTGCTTCTGCGAAAGCCCAAGCTGAAGCCGAGGCCTACTATCGCAATCGGTATCGAAGTCGTTCAGCCCTCCTCGCTGCTCTCCAAGCTCACCCTTCGGCTGCTTCGGTCACGTCGAGAGATTCGATCACTTCTGCTAAAGACGCGCCCGGCGAGCCGTTGACAAAAGGGAGGCTGTCCATGCGCGAGAAGCAGCAGCAGGACAGCCAAAGGGAGCCGAGTGGGTCCTACCTCAAAACACAGAAAAGGTCCGGCACTCGTGATCCGTCGAAACGTTCTCGAGCGAAGGCTCCGATTCCGAGATCCTCTAAAGGCAAATCGTCCAAGGGGAAGCAGAAATCCAAGAAGAAAGGCCAGTCCGACCAGATCGGTGGAACTCAAGGCAAGTGATCCGAAGAATTTCAGGGCGCATCAAACGCTTATCCTTACCTCGTGATCCCCTCAGTGAGTCTCATAATGACACTCTGCCGTGGACATTGTCAGGTTTGATCGGACGAGTCAATGAATTGCTTTCCAGAGCCCACAGAGACGACCGCACTCAGCTCAACCCCGAAAACGGAGGCGGAGACATTCGACGGTAAATTGGGATCGAAATCGGAACCGGACGTAGAGAAACCATCGAATGAGGAAGAGAAGGGTCGAACCGACGACGAGCTGAGCGAGGACGAGGAGCAGGCCGCCAAAATCATCGCTAACGCCATAAGGGAGGCGATACAAGAGGAATACGGCGAAGATACGTCGATTGACGAGATCCTTAAAAGCAAGAAGAAAGTTCTGGAAGAGCACTTGAAGGCGTTGCGGGACGAACGGTCCGACTCAAAGGGAAAGCCCAAGAGGAAATCTCCATCGAACATCACAGAGGGTGCGGAGTTCGACGCGTTCGATGACGAGACCAAGGAGCTCATCGAAACACTAGCGGAGGTCTTACGCGAGGGACTGAAGGAGGAGATGAAGAACAAGCCCCCCAGCGATCCAACAGCAAAGGAAAACCGAACTGGGGACGAGGAGGAATCCGCGGGGAAAGCGGGAGATGGAAAATCGGGGAACTCTCTCAAGTCAACCCCGGAGCCAAGCGGGAAGGGGCCGTCAAGTCGATTCACGGAATCTCGGGACGAGAGAGAAGAGAACGGGGTTGACGAGACGGATACGGATTCGGAGAACGAGGACTTGCTGTTCGACATCGAATTGGAAGACGCTTCCCAATCGCCCGAAACAGTTTCGGAAAACGAAAAGGGGTACGAGGAGCCGCGAAAGGACGGGGATCAGAACTCCCAGTCAGAAACGACCGAGAAGCCAGGATCGAGTTCAGAGCCCGACAGGAAATCTCCATCTGAGCAGAAGCGAAGAGATCGAGCCCCGGATCCGAAGAAGAACGCGGTTCCTCCAACCTCATCTGAGCACTACGTAGGCACTCAATCCGGAATGGAAGTCTCGACCGAGCCCTCCGTGAGGGGTGACCTGCTGGAGGGAGAGACTGAAAAGAAAGAGAAACAGGGCAAAGAAAAAAAATCAAAAAACAAGAAACCGAAGGCCGAGACGGAACCTCGCAAAAAATCGCCGTCGGCTCCGGTCTCGAGATCTCGACGGAGCAAGGAACCGACTGGGGAGTTTGAATCCGACGAATCAGAGTCTGAAGAAATAGAAATGGATTTGGTGCCCAACAAACCCAAAGAACGAATTCCGTTCGACCAAGCCTCCGCAAGGCCGGGTCAAGCCGGGAGGCTCGCGGATCTGCCGGGGCCGGGGCCGCTTGCTCAACTTGCACAAAAACCGATCCCAGGTGCCTTGTCGTCTCAGATTCCGGGTTCTCGACCTTCGAAGCTCGTTCGTACACCTCAGGATTATCGCGCCAAGCCTCCAAGACGGAAGGAAGCGCTTTCAAGTCGAGGAGAGCAAAGCTCAGAGGACTCCAGCCAGTCCGAAGAGCAGCCACAGTACTTAAGCGGAGCGAAGGGTTCCAAATCGAGGAGCGACGATTCCGTTGGCCACATGGCTCTCAAGACACCTGATGACAAGAGAGCCCGCTTTCAAAGTGAATTCGATAGTCTCAAAGATAAAATTGCCAACAAGAAAAGCTCATCGGAACCGAGTAAGCAGAAATCGCGAACAAGAATGAAATTCAAAGGCTCGAGTGGTAAAATCCATCCCGGGTTAACGACCCGGCCCGCGGCAGAGGGCGAGCGTGGTGCGCTGTCTAAAATTAAAGACTTCGATAGAGGAACCCCTCACACCTCCACACAGTCGGATGAGAAATCACCGCGTCTCATGTCGGAGATCCATGAATTGGGAAACAAGCTCCATTACAGGTCAACGACTCCGGAGTCGGCGGTGAGCTCACCGGGTGCTCCGTCGGGACAACAAGAGGGAGGTAACGGGACCGTGCGCAATACGACATCCCCGGCATCAGTCGAAAGCACACCGGGCGTCATATCCAAGATTCAAAATCTGAAGAAGGGCTTTCTCGACAAGTCATCAACTGCAGCCACTGCATCAGATCCTCTGACGAAGATAAAAGGTCTAGGTGAGGGCTTCGTCGGTAGGACAACACCGTCGGCTCTACAGGAAGGTGTATCTAATGCAGGTTCCAGAATCAGAGCCATCAGTAATAACATCAAGGACAAACTGACGTACCAAGCACCGAATAATAGCAATGAGCTGGAGGATTCAAGCGAGAGAGACGACCCGAGTCCTACAAGACCGAGTCTGGCCCCAGACTCGCTGTTTGCATTGAAAAATTCAGAGGAATTGAAAGCACCGGCTCCGAATGGGGAGAAGGACCCATTGAACGGCATTGGGGGCGAGGGACTCCGGAAGGCGATCGGGGAAAAGAAACCGAGCAGAAAGAAATCCGATTCCCCAAAATCAGCGAGCAAGAGGAAGTCGGCGAAGAAGAAAAGCAAAAAACCTCTCCTCTCATCCGAGAGCTCCAGAAAGAAAAACAGACGAACATCGAGGAAACCATTTCCGAACGAAGAGACCGATCGGAGGTCATCGCCTCCAGACGGACGAAATATCACGCAATCGGATGTATCTCGGTCAACGCCCGGAATGACCATGACTGTCTCGAAATCGCCCAAGGATGACAGCAGAGCTGAACTCAAGAGGAAATTCACCGGTAAGCCAGGGGTGCAGGCAGGGAATGAGTCTTCCAGTGAGTCGCAGCAGAGCTCGCAGGAGGACTCGTCGGAAAGGCCCGGGGGGCAAAAGTCCACAAACAAAACGACTGTGGAGTCTCCTCCGCGGGGGAAGGGAACAGAAACATCCCGTGTGAGTGGGGGAGAGGGTTCCACGACTCCATCTTCGGGTTCTGCGGGGAAACTATCATCGACCCGGATCAACGGGTCGGGGGACCGAAGGCCCTCCAAGACTCGCGCTCCACGGTCGGAGAACCGCTACGGGCCTCGCCTACACCGAATAAGAGCGGGGCGGCCTCGAGTGCGGCCCCGGGTCTGCTTGAAACGTCCTCCGGGACTACCGCTCTGAAAAAAGGCAGACCATCCTTGGGGTCTGACACGAGCAAGGGGAAAGCATCCCCTGGAGCTTCCCCAACGGCGCCCTCGACACCAGCCGGCGTATCCGCAGGGAAGAAGAGAATAATACCTGGAGAGGGAGCGAAGGTACTGCTCAAAGCTTCGGCGGCACCTGGCTTGGGTCGCACAGAGTCTTCGCAGTCGCCATCGCTGGGCGGATCTAAGAAATCCACCGGTGATGATAGTAGGAAGAGAAGTTCAAGTCCGGCCCTCAACCTTCCGCAATCCACGCGCAGTCGACCGTCGGGAAGCACGAGGCCCGCGTCTGCAAATAATAAGAAGAGACCGGGACCGAACCGAGCACCATCGAAACCTGGAGTCCCCCCTAACATCCTGAGAGCGTCGACCCGCTCTCCTCTAGGAGCGGATGCTACCGGCGCAGGAAAACTCCGCACGCAGAAACCTGACAAGAAAGAGCCCGACACGGAGGAAGGGGATTCGATTCTCAGCATATGTAAGTATTAAGTTGTCCTGAGGAAATCTCGGGAAACATGTAGAAGATTCGAATCAACGTAGCTTCGGGAGATTCGCTGACGATTCCACGTTCTGTTTACAGTTAAAAACCTTTTCTCCTCGAAGAAGGAAGCCAGCAAGTCTTGAGCCTCCCTCGCGGCGCATGAGCGAAACCTTAGCATGTCTGGGATCCGCATTCAATATGTCAATGTAGAATTAACAGTGAATGTTCTGAAAACGGCGTGTACCTTCGAAGTGGTCGACTCGACGAATAAAATACATCTGTTCCTGTACATATTAAGGAAATGATACTTTTCGTCTTCATCACCTGCCTGCCTTGAAAGTTTGCTCGTCTCGGGGCCGATTCCGAGGCTCAAAGTTCTCCCACAGGTGACATCCGACGTCCTCGCTCCGAAGGTCTGTCGTAAAACTTCGACAGCCACAAGGATTCGCCGCTCCTCGGACCGGAATCCGTGACAAATCACTCTAATTAAACATGAAGTGTTCCGACCGTGAATTGAGGAGAAAATCCATCATCCAGATATTATGCTGCTAAATCCGTCCATCCTCCTCAATATCTCGGGGGTCGTGGATTTCGCCCCCTCTGATCAATCCACTGATATGCTCCCTCGGGGCAGCGGGATGTGAGGGGATATCTCCATGGTGGGTGGGAGGAGGAATCGCCAGATCCGAGAACTTCGAATTCGAGAAACGCTATCTTTCTATTCCGGCTCGACGGGAAAAACTTCGTCCCGGAAGTGTCGCAATCTTCGAGACGATCCCGAGGTCTCTCCCTCCCGGCGTGAATCTAATATTTCCAATCAGAGAATCCCAAATGTCCTCTGGACTCGAAAATTAATTCTCTAACTCCGAGGAGCTTCTCGGAATTCTCGTCCGGATGAAAACCTAGGGGCCCCTCAAAGTGGCTGCGGAAGTCAACTTGTCTTCGAGCGAGTCATTCTTAGTGTAGGAAACAATTTATTGATCTCTGGTCACGTATTCGCTGAAATATAAGACATATTTTCTAAGGTCGCGCGAGAGCTATTCCGTCTCGGTTGTTCAGTTGCCGATATGGACAAGTTCGTCGTGCTGACGTTCCTGGTCGGACTGGGTTTCAAGAGTGATCCCAATTCGCTCAAGCAGCCCAGCGGAGGAGACGGAGTGCAGTCCGGGGCGCTAAGTTCGCCCTCAGCTGTGCCAGTGGCGAACTTGCCGTGGATGCCACCTCGTCCACACGATGCTAGGAGACCTAGGAAATCGCACAATGCGCCACAGAAACCAGCAAAACAAAGGTGTGATTCATCAGCTCTCCGGAACGGTGCCGCGGAGTCGAACCTCGGGGATGACCCAACGAACGCCGCCCATCGGGACCTCTGGAACAACCGCGGCGTCCCCGCGGTGACATCGCTCTTCAGAAGAATTATACCAAAAAGTCCTGACAAGACCCCGCCAGCTTCACCGACTGATACTGCGATGCCCGCGTCGAGCAGTTCAGATGGGTCGATGACCGAGGTCAACCTCGGCGAGCGAGGTGCAGCAGACTCATCCCAGCCGGGCGGATCTTGGTCGAGAGTATCGGCCATGTCGGCCGACAGCCATAACGCCAGCGTGCCTCTGTTGGAGAAACGGAGAATGCCAATGTTCGAGCAAAAGCAGTACAAACAGAGAAGGCCATACAGATCGAAGCACAAGTTCCGGAATCATCAGAAAACTCTGATACTCAGAGCCGCACCTAGACGCCCCGAAGTCGTCGACCAAGGATACGGCCCGCGGAAGCCGTTCCGAATGGTGGCAGCGAAAAAAACGGAAGCTCAATCCGACAGTCCGACGAAAGAAGACGAGAGACGGTCTTTCAAAATTGTGGCAGATTCGTTCCTCCAACGTGTCAGACAGCTGAGCAATGGGCATCCGCCCCCTACGGAGCTGACCCAGGAGGAGGAGCAGGCTCTCGAAGTCGTCAGGAAATCTCTTGGCGAGACACGCCGAGAAGAATTAAGGAGTATCGAGCGTCTCAAGCGGAAGAACAAGTCCCGGAAGGACGGGCACTCAATACGAACACCAGGAAAAGGTCGAAATCTCCGGGACGAAATCTACGGATCTAGTCCTACGATCGGGAATATAGGTCCGAGGTCGAAAATCATCGACGGGAAATCATCGCGGACAAGCGGAACGGCTCCAGAGGAAGATATCGGCGGAGAAAGTGGTGAATCATCCTCCGAGGACGAGTCGGAAGAAAATTCCGTCTCATCCTTTACTGGAGCTCCCGACTTATCGGAGGAGGTTGGAAGCCGAACACCCGATGGGAGCGAAGAGTCCCGGGCCGGAACTCGGGCTGAGGGACCGGCTTCGAAGGAGGATTCGAAGGATGAGACGCCGATGGATACGGCTGGAAAACAAGCGTTCATCGAATCCCGTCGAACAGCAGGGGCCGCTGCCCAACCGTTTCGCTCAAAAGATTGGACGGCGAAAGCCCAGAAGGGAGGAGAATCAAATCGAAACAGCAAGTCTGCGAGCAGAGTAGCGGAAGGGAAACCAAAGTCCGACGCGAATCAGAGCAAGAAGTCGCCGAGGGCATCGGCCTCAAGATTGCGACGGAGCATCGGACCCAGCGGACGGTCCGGAGCCGGAACGTCGGAATCCGATGAGATAAGATTGGAATTAGTACCGAGTAAGCGGGTGGCTGTCAATCAAACCGCGAGAAACCCAATGCGATCAGTCGGGGCGTCCAGTCAAGCCAACGGAGCCATTCTCAGGGTTACCGAGAGTGCAGACAATGCGGCTCCAGTCGCCAAGGCCCAATTCAGGGTTGTCTTGAGCCAAAATCGAGGAGCGAGGACTCAAGACCGAAATCCCACGATGCCGAACGCCGCAGCTGGCATACCTACCCACGCTGGGAATCGTCCAACGAGTAGCTCCGATAATCTCGAGAAATCGATCGGACTCCAAAAGACATCTACCGTCAGTCCGGAACGAGCCGCCGCCTTTGGTCACACGATTCGGATCCCCGGTCGAGAAGCAGCCCCTGTTCCCCAAGCTACTGGAGCCGAGGGCTTAGCCGTAGAGTTCCCAGAGGCTTTCACCGGTCGTCCAGCAGGCGTTAGGCCTTCGAAATCGCTCCCCGGTCCCCAACATCCTGTAGCTGGAACGCCACAGCCTGGCGTCGGACCTGCAGAACCGGTCGCGGGACCTCCAGTCATCGTCGTCGGACTTCCAGCCCCTATCGGCGGACCTCCGGCGCCCATCCCTGGACCTTTGGTCCCCATCGTTGGACCTCCAGCACCTATCGTTGGACCCCCAGCCCCTATCGACGGATCCCTCGAGCCTGTCCCCCGACCTCCACAAGAAGTCATCGGGCCAACAGGAGGGGTCGTCGGACTGCCGGAACCTGTCGACGAAGCTCTGAGAGCAAACCCCGCATTCTCTGAAGCGATTGCTGGGCCTCAAGCGCAAGTCGCCGGAGATTCACGACCGCTAGTCGGATACGCGGCAGCAGGAGCCGGACCTCCGAAGGCAGTGAGTAAAATCACGGGAGAAACTGCCGGACCCGCACTGAGGACGCTCCAATCGACAGGATCTTCCGGTAAGGCCACAGGAGCCTCAGCGGTAGACGCAGGACTTCCGGGAACATCTGCAGACTCCGTGAGCTCCGCCGTCGAGGTCACGAGTCAAGCGGCGGAATCTCAAGCAAGCCTTGCTTATCTCTCTAAACGTTTAAAGCAAGCAGTGCCGAAAAAGGGAGAAACGGCACCGAGGTCCCGAGACGAGAATAAAAGGAAGAAGAACACGAGTGGAGAAAATAAGAGATCAAGAATATCGGTATCCCCCGCTGGGAAACGTCCCTTAAAGAAGACTCCCGCCGCCACAATGAACTCATCTAGACCGGCTGCGAGACTTGAAAACTCATCCGAAGCAAATGAGAAGGGGCCCGCCAAGAGAACTCCGGCGAGAAAGTCGAGTAGGACTCGGCTTCATAAGGGACAAGCGAAAAAGAAGACGAGCGACAAGCCTCCCTTGTCGTCGGAAGAATTTGCCGCAACTGCCGAAGATATCAAGAAAAATGCCGGAGACCACACGCCGGTGGGGGGCGGAGATTTCGAGAGCTCTTCGTCCCGCCCGGGAAGCGAGCGGACAATTCCATCGTCGAAGTCCATCGCAGGCGATGGAGAAGATTCGGAAGGCTCCGTACAGAGCGAGATTGGAGCCTCGGTGTTCGAGTCAAGCACTGGGGAGGCGATCATTGTCATCACTGACCCTTCTCCGCGCCTTCAGGACTCGGGTCGTGGTAGCGGACTCGACGCCAAAAAAATCGGAGCCTCCGAGAATCCTATCAGACTCGGATCAGGCCCGGGGCTGTCGCAAAAGTCCAGGCTCGATGATTACAGTTCCACCACTGGAAGTTCTGAGGGGCCGCCTACACCAGGGAACGAGGGGGGAGCATCCGCGACCTTCACGGAAAAGACCTCAGAAACGGCTCATTCCGTAGATTCAGACAGCGCATCGCCAAGCCCGCTTGTGAGGTCGAGCGAAGCCGTTCGAGAATCAGATGGAGCAGCCCGAGACGCCTTGTCCAGTACTCAATCCTCGTCGGAACCGGATGTCCATCAAAGGACCGTGAGCCCTACCAGTGGCTCGCTCGATGCATCGACGCCGAGCGATTAAGGACACTATTCTCGAGCGCAGTCGGCGGTGACTCCAGACAGGAGCTCAACGCCTACATAATACGGAAACATCGGGGGCGAGGTACTGGGTATATGGATACCGATCCCATTTTCAGATTGAGCGTCTGTTTCTCCTTGCGGCTCCGGAAAACTCAGTGTGACTGCAACACAGGCTATCGCCTCCGGCAGATGAGCTCTGACTCAAGTCGATAATAAATCGTTGCGTCATGTTGGAATGAACATCCTCTGGTGATGGAGCTCGAAACTCGCGGAAAAACTCGACAGAAGCTGGCTCAACTAAGGCGCATCTATGTATTTTTAGCTTCATCGGTGGACAAGAGCACGCCAGGCATCAGCAATGGGGAGTTTGACTCAGGGGTTATGAATAAAAAGGGGCTAGGATCTTTCGTGGGGCTGGCCGGATGAAAACTCCTGATCTCCATGATTCTCATGTAGTCCGAGTACCTCCACGATTCGCTCTGCTATCGCCAACGAAGGAGGGTGTGGAAGAATGGACAAAACCATCATATTGTAGATATTATTTCTGAGCTAGAATCGTCCCCGGTCAGGTACTTGGGCCCATTCAGAGAATAATCGAGGATATACACGTATCTTTGTATAATCGAAGAAACATAGGTACGTCGTGGGAAAATCAGCTCGATTCTCGGATTGCGTCTTACAGATCCAAGGGATGGAAATACAAATGTAAGCTCGTCCCCCTAAGGGGGCTCACTTTCCCCAAAGTCTCTCTCTCAGAATCTTGCCCGATGATGTATCTGAAAAATGATGATGTCGTTGACAGCCATCGAGTCGAGTACTTCCCCCCCCCCCCCTCGTCGCCCACAATTCATTGAAAGACCCTCGGCGTTCGCTTAGGTAGCGGGGGCAGGCGCCGAATGCGGCTTGCCTCACAGATCGATGCTCCGAGGACATCGAGGACCGCCCCCGTAGACAGGAAACTCAGTATTCGCGAGTCCGTCGTGTCTTCCCCAAGATTCCGTTCTCGCTTCGAGCGAGGAATCCATGATCTGGCAAAAAATGCAGAAGACTTCTGGGAGGGAGCTTCGATCATAATGAGCCCTCTCTATGAGTAGAGACCCTCGAGTCGAGTCCGACGGTTTCCTATGAAGGTCCAGGAACCCGACATGGACCCAGAGAGAGGAGAGACTGAATCTGAAACGAAGCAAGCCGGAGTGGAGCATGGACGGAAGGCGGAACTTGGATCAGAGAAGGCGAGACCTCCCGCCGGCGACGAGCCCGACGAAACGTGGAGGTTGCAGCTCGTGCGGGAGTCGCATTCATCTCCACGTTTCGAGAATCTCTCTTGTCGCGCCTGGTGGAGGCGATGCTTTCCGTCCGCAATCTTTCACGTTGGAGCTCGGAAAGTCCCCGGAATAGTTTTCAGCCTATAATTGTGGCTTGAGCAAACCTAGAACTTTTGTAATTAGGGCGGATGTGAAACTTCCGAAAATCATCGCTCCCGTAGTTTTCCGCTGAGCTTCTTCCCCGAGCGTCGAGCGACAGAGAGACAGCTCTCCCAGAGCGATCACAAGAGTCAACTCTCTCAATCGAAACAAAACGTTTCCCCTGACGCCGGAATTTATTGATCCTCGATCACGTATTCGCTTGAATATAAGACATAAGCGTCCGGGTCGCGCGACAGCTATCCGGTCGCGACTGTTCAGCCCACGACATGGATAAGCTCGTGGTACTGACGTTCATGGTCGGATTAGGTCTGAAAAATGCATCCGAATCACTCCAGCAACCAGCCGCTATGGATCAGGAGCCCGGAGCGCAGGCTCCGGACGCGACTCGCACCGGTGCACAGGGTATCTGGATACCGTCATACCCCAACAGTGCCTCAAGATATGACCGTTTGAACTATCCCACGAAACAGCATCGGGACCTAGGTTTGGATCCCTCGGTTCTACGAAACGCTCCTGACGAATCGAACCATGCCAGTAATCTTGTGGGAGGCAGTGGTTCTGACTACGGTATATCGCTGATATCTCGGTCCGGGGATAGTTCTGGCACCGTGTCGACCAGAGATCGGAATCGAGGTCCTGGGCTCCCTCTGCTGAGGACACGGAATCTGAAGGGGAGCCGGAGCTCTTCAGATGATAGAGTTCGAGATCCCTCGGGACGGAACATGTCGCGGGTCCCTCGAGCGCGAGTGAGAGGGAGTCAGAATGGGGATTCCGAGGAGGAAACCGGGAAGGCTGTGAGTGACAGTGAGGAGAGTGGAACCCGGGACCGGAAGGATAAGTCTAAGAAACGCGCGAAATCTGAGAGGTCCAAAGCGAAAAAAATCAAGAAGAAAGTCGACCCCGAGGAAGAGGCACCGATCGGAGGGGAGGAAACAACAACCGAGATGCCGGAAGGAATACCCGAGTTGGTTTTGGTGCGAAAGGACAACTTGAGACCCCTCGGAGATCAAGCCGGATACCACGAGCCCCTAGGGGAGGAAGCCGAGCGACTCCTGGAGGAGGTCTTCAGAGAAGCCATCCGGCAACAACTTGCAGAGAGGTCGTCTCTCGAGGACCCTTCGATGGAAGATCTGGGACTAGAAATCGAAACCGGCGAAGAACAGCAATCTGTCGATGGGAAAAAAAAGTCCAAGAAGAAACGACCGAAATCACGATCCGGGTCGATCTCAAGCAGGGGACCTCCTTCTGAGCCTGCCGTGCAGTCTCGAAGGAGCGGCGCATCGAAGAACCTCTTCGGGATCAGGGTTCGGAGCCCAGATCGGACACTGCAGACGAGCGACGCCTCGCCCGAGATCGGAGACGGAAGACCACGTATGAAGAGGAAAAAATCCAACAGGAACACGCTTTACCCTTTCGACTTACACAGGCTGAACAAATCGAAGAAAAAGAAGAAAAGCAGGAGACCGCTCACGTCATCCGAGGAATACGCCATGAGGGCCCAGAGGAAAAGGAAGCCCTCCTTTCAGCTAACTTCGAGTGAGGAAGCGGAAAATGGAGACCCTGTATCTCTACCCGGAGGTCCTACGATGCCTTCGTTGGAGATGTTCGCCACAACCGAAAATCTACCGCAAGCCCCACTCCGAACCTCGTTGGAGTCCGTTCCCGGCCCGAGCAAGAGGAAGCCTCTCCCGAATACCGCACCATCTGGAGACGTTGACGGCGTCGGGCCCAAGAGCAAAGCGGAGCTTGAGCCCATCCGAGCTCTCACGAGTCGTCCTCCCGGTATCTTAGGTGGAGAATCGTCGAGCCCGGGGGTCAACCTCAAGGAAACCGTCGGTGGACTCGAAGAATCAGAAGACTCGGTCGATGCGGGAGCAAATTC